GTGTTTACTGGCTGGATTCAAACTGCAAAGGGTAGAGCATGGCTCCGCATGGAGATGGGGAGAAGGCATCTGTTTTTTCTTCTACGTTAACGACGATATGATGGGCTGGCGCTACAGGAGTGCTTTTCTTCTTCTTCTTCTTCTTCTTCTTCTTCTTCTCTTTCCCCTTTAATGCTTCCGGAGTTTGGGAGGCGGAGCGACTGAATGCTTGACTTGGAATACATGGACAGCATTGTTGGACGGGCTTTAGAAAAAGTGTCGTCTCTGCAGGTAGAAAATCACAAGAGACAGCAATAGACGCTTCCAAGGTATCGCTTCTGATGCTTTACAACTACGAATAAATGCACCTGATGATCTGCTTTGTGATGCACGAAGATCGATCTGGGCTCTAGTTTTAGCGCTACATATGCTGGAAGACGTCAGCTCAGCGGGCCGTTAAGCCTAACGGAGTAGCGGACCGGACGAAAGTGTTAGCGGCTACCCAGCGCTCAGTAGAGACCCGGCAGGATGAGGGCGTATCTCTTATCTGACCGGTCCGACCCCACATCGCACTTGTTCCCGCCTTGCCTTTTCCCGCTATCGGTTCAATCGCAAGCTCACCTCAACCTTGAAGCTTTATTTTCCAGCTTCAAGCAACGGGCGGCCTGATCACAGACAAACTGCCTCTTGTCCGCACACGATCTGTATGTAGGCGGCCATGTCCATTCCCGGCCTTGGGCAGATCCCGGTACAAGTGCGTCAAGCCATGGAATCACCCTGTTCCTGTCAACTCCTGCGATTTCCCCAGTCACTGACAGCTCCTCCGTCGTCGCATCACAGGCAGCCGTTTCCTCGACGCGAACCATCTCCCTCCGCCCCGCGTGGGAATGGCGATTCCAGGTGCCTCCGGGCGGCTCCATCACCGTCAAGGTGCTCTCCGGCACCGCTGAAAAGGACGGCGTCGAGCTGCCGCTGCGCAATTCCTACACCTTCTCCGGCATCAAGTCCAAGATCCTCACATGGCACGGCTGCGAGCTGGAGGTTGAGGGCCGATGCGACCGCGACTCTGTGGCCGAGTACCCGAATCCGGTCGCCAATCCGGCTACTTCACATATCAATTTGCATGCGCGGCTGAGCGACATGCGCGTGGATGCTACAAGACAGCGACGGGAGGGGCCTAGAGTGCTGGTTGTCGGGCCGCCGAACTCGGGCAAGACGACGCTGGTCAAGACGCTGACGAGCTATGCCACGCGCCAGGGATACCAGGTGATTACGGTCAATGCGGATCCCAGGGAGGGCATGCTGAGCCTGGCGGGGACGCTGAGCGCGAGCGTGTTTGCGACGGTCATGGATCCCGAGGCGGTGGACGGCTGGGGGTCGACGCCGACGAGCGGGCCGAGCACCGTGCCCGTGAAGCTGCCCATGGTGTTTCACTACGGGAGGGAGGCGCCGGAGGAGGACGAGGACTTTTACCGCGAGCTTGTGGCGAGGCTGGCCGGGGCTGTTAGTGGGCGGTTGAGCGAGGACGAAGAGGTTCGGGGGTCGGGGGTGATTATAGATAGCACGGGAATCAGCGAGGATGGGCAGGTTGGGATGGATCTGGTTGCGCATATTGTCGACGAGTTTTCCAGTAAGTTGTTGTTCTCGTCTCTGGCATTTGTGGTTACAAGGTGGCTAATTGGTGTCTCTAGTCAACATTGTGGTGGTCATTGGTTCACCCAAGATTCATGCGGATCTCACAACCCGGTTCGCGAGCGAAAAGACGAGTCTCGGGGAACAGATACAGGTGGTTGCGCTTGACAAATCGGATGGCGTGGTCGAGAGGGACGAGGCGTTTCTGCAGCACTCCCGCGAGGCTGTGATTAAAGAGTACTTTTTTGGGGACGCCAAGAGGACGCTGAGTCCGCAGATTCAGCAGGTTGACTTTGACGCCCTGACCATTTACAAGCTTGCAGACTGTACGTTACCCCGTCTCACAACTGGGCTTTCACATTCAATACGCAGGTTATTGATGCTTTCGTTGTACAGATTCACCCGACGAGAAGCAGAGCTTAGTTACAGAGGAGCCGTCATCTCTGATGCAGCACTGGACCTTTGCGGTGATGAATGCCTCCGTGCGCGACAGTCCGGACGTGGTGCGCGCGGCCAACGTGATGGGCTTCGTGTACGTGGCCGACGTCGACGAGGACAGGCGGAAGATCAAAATCTTGGCTCCGGTGAGCGGCAGGCTGGGGGACAGGCCGCTGGTTTGGGGCAAGTGGCCGGAGCCGTACATAAACTTGTTGGGATAGAACCATTTTGAATGGATGGAGGAAAGCAAAGGACGCCTTGTTCTACTGTGAGTTGTTGATGTGTCAAAGTGTGGTGTGACTTTTGTGTGACTGCTTGTCTTTGACGGAAGTTTGACAGGTGACATTGGGCTTGGCTTGTATTGCCTGTGTATGTGAGAGGCTTAGAGTCTGGGACACGGAATTGATAGGAAAGCTTCGGATACTGGATGGTTCTGGTCATCTCGGTTCGATGCGGTGTTGGTTGGCTGCCTCTTTCGAGTCCTTGCGAGTGCATTACTCGTCGGTATGCTTGTCTGATGCACAACGCATCAGGTGGCAGATGCCAAGGGACACCATATGCAGCAATGGCATCACATGTGCGTACTTGTTCCGGACGCGTTTAACGTAATGGCAATCGAAGAGGGAAGCGGACAACTGGCCATCTTTTCTTGTATATGATCATACAGTGCATCTGCAAGGGAGGGGAGGGCTCAGGTTCGATTTCGTCCTTTGAGTGGGAGATGATGAGAACGCGCGTCGAGCCAAGAAGGCCGGAGGAGGAGGAGGAGGGAGAAAAGGCCAAGACTTGTACGGGGAGAGATGCTCCGTTGTAGGGGGGCTTAGTAGGAGCTGTGGCTTGGAGTGGCGGAGGAACCGGAGGCGGAATTGTATCTGAGAGTTACTTTTGGGCGAAGCTGATCATGGTGAGGATAGAGTTACCTTTGAGCGAAGTTTATAATGACGATGAGAGGATGAACGAGAGTGATTGATTTCTTGATTAAATGCTAAAGCATCTCTGTAGGTACTTGTGGTCACTCCAGTTGTTGCCCGGTGCCGTACCTGTAATTGCTCTCTGGTGGCTTACAACTTCGAGGCCGTTTCAACGATGAAGAGCGAGCAAGCACCCACGGCAACTTGACCAGGTGCTAAAGGGACTAGGACTGAATGAGACAAGTCTGGACGGGGGAGGTTCACGTGTGTGCCGCCACAGGGAAGATACGTAAGATTGACGGCGGGGTGGTTTTGCTCTTGGGACAGAGAGGATGAGAACTTGGAGTGTGTCTGCCAAGAGAATTGGCGTTGATGGTGATGGGCTTCTTGGTTTATTTTGGGGGTGCGGGGTTGGTGATGGGATGGGTGATTACGGATGCTGATATGGATGCTGATATGGATGTGATGGTGGTGATGGTGAAGATGATGGGAGGTTGATGAAGAAGATGGTGATGGTTCTATGGTCTGGTGTTTGATATCTCGACTTACATGTACCCTGAACTAAACGTGAAACGATGGGTTCGAGTACCATGAACAGCAAATAGACATAGGAAGAGGCTTCACGACGACTGAGAGAACAGATCCTGCACAAGAGTTGGTCATCAAGATGCTGCTGCTCCCCCCGTCATGCTCAAGCTACGAGACGGCCTGCAAGCCACTGACACGCTCCACTCCAAAAGCTACAGGTACTCGGTTGTCTGTGCTGGCTGTCTCCCCACGGCACGGCGGCAACGCCAAACGCAAAGCGATGCCGCCCAAGCAAAATGCACAACCATGTCATTCTGAACGACAAAAAGAACAACTTTGCCGAGTACTGCGGCCGTTGTCCCGTTTTGATACCCCCAAGCAACACCGGGAAGCGGGTTCGGGCCAATCGGACTTGTTGAAGGTTGACCCCCGCCCCCCCTCGTGATGGGAGTTGGAGGGGTTGCGGCACGTGCCTGGTCGATGCTGGGCGGGAGGGAGACGGAGATGGAGATTGATGTGGGATGTTGATGATTGATGTTGTAGATGTCAATGTGGATGCTGATGAAGCGTAACAACATATGCTGGATGTCAGGAGAAGATGTGGTTTGTTGTAGATGTTACATGCAGTTCCAGTTATCGATAACAGCCACCACTTGGAGACGCCTCAACAAACAACAGCCACTTGAAGCTTCTACTTCTCATTCTCATTGAACTCCCATCTCGCATCGGCATCACAGTGTGCATGTCTCTGAGCCCATCACGCAAAGCAGCCCCTGCTACCGATGACAATCCACTGCAAGTGCCAACATGAGCACAGCACCAACTGCATGTGGTGTAGCATCTCCCCCAAGCGGAAACCGGGGTATCTCGTCTCATAGCTCCCCCTCCCACACCAGGCTGCACATCATGCTCTATCTGGACAGCTACGCTATCCGCCGCCTCCGTCTGATAACGGCTCCCCTTAGCATCTCTTTCTCTCCGCTGTGATTTGCTGAATCATTCCGTCCATCAGCCAGGCGCTTCTGTGCCCAGATACACTTCCAATTGTTTGTATAAAGTGGCGTGGGAAGCTACGCTCTGTCTGGAACAGAATGTACTTGCTTTCCCTCGCCTCCTCCTCCTCCTCTCCCTTCTACCCTTCCAAGCTTTTCTTTGCCTTTTCCCAGGCTTCACCTCGGCCTTTTTCCTGGTTTTCTTCCCTGGACCGCCCAGGTTGTATTGTATAGCCACATAGGTACCTATATAACCAGCCCCCGGACGGTGTCTGAAGGAATTGGACTTTCTCTTCACCCCGTGTCTTCTGCACTTCTGCCCTATTCGACTCTTTTGACATCTCTCACTGTCATACACCCTCCAACCCGCCATTTGATATCAGCACCGGCAGAGGGGCAACGAGGCTAGCCAGACCCTCGGCTCTTCCATCCACAACAGAACCTTAATAGGACAACATCTCTTAAAAGCAAAGACCTCGCGTCTTGTCCCGGCTGGAAACAGCTTCACGATACCCGTTCGATGGGAGAGACCGTCATTGTCTTCACGAATGGTGCATCAGACGCCAACGCCTCGTCGGACTCGTCGACCCTCTCCAGCGGCCAGGACGACCAGCCCCCTATAGCGGAACCCCCCGACATAGTATCAGCTATAGAGAAGCCGCTCTGTCCTCACACCCTCTCCGCCCGGCGCGTTGCCGAGCTCCTCAGGACCGACGCCGAAGATGGACTAACTGACGTCGAGGCGGCCGCCCGCCTGGCTCGGGACGGCCCCAATGCCATCAAGGGAGCAAAGGGCATGTCCCTCTGGGAGATCTTTCTCCAGCAGGTTGCCAATGCGCTGACTGCCGTGCTCATCGCCGTCATGGCCCTGTCCTTTGCCATTCACGACTTTGTCGAAGGTGGCGTGGTCCTGGCCGTCATTCTCCTCAATATCATCGTGGGGTATGTTGCATTAAAACAAGAAGGCCGCCGACGCAGAAAGGAAGAGACCAAGCCTCCTGCCGTAGAGATTCTTCTTTTTCCGTTCTTGTTCTTCTCTCTTATATCTTCATGTGTTGCTTACCATTTCATGAAACGACTCGCAGATTGATCCAGGACTACCGCGCTGAGCAGACCATCCAGTCGCTATATGCCTTGTCCACGCCCAAGTGCAAAGTGATTCGCAACGGGATCAACACCACCGTTAAGGCGGAAACCCTGGTCAAGGGCGACCTCGTCTGGCTCTCCACTGGAGACGTAGTTCCCGCCGACTTGCGTCTGGTTCAGGGCATCAACCTGTCGACGGACGAGTCTCACCTTACGGGCGAGTCCGTGGCCATCAGCAAGAAGCCTGACGCCATCTTCAACGACGCCGAGCTCCCCATGGGCGACCGCACGAACCTGGTCTACACCGGAAGCTCTGTGACTCGCGGCCGCGGGACCGGCATCGTGATATCGACCGGGATGAATACCGAGGTGGGCCAGATTGCCCAGCTGCTGCGTCAAAAGAAGAAGCAGAACACTGGCTCTGGGCCCGTCAGCAGGTTCTTCATCAACTGCTACCAACACACCAGGAGCATTCTCGGCCTCGAGGGGACGCCTCTGCAGGTCACGCTGAGCAAGTTTGCCTTGCTGCTGTTCGGCCTGGCCATCCTCCTGGCCGTCATTGTCTTCTCGGTGAACAAGTGGGACATGGACGACAACGTCTTGCTGTACGGCATCTGCGTGGGTGTTGCCGTTATTCCGGAATCCCTCCTTGCCGTGCTTACCGTCACTATGGCTGTCGCTACCAAGGCAATGGTTAAGGGCCATGTAATCGTCCGTCAGATGCCGTCCCTCGAGGCGGTCGGCGGAGTAACCAACATTTGCTCCGACAAGACGGGCACCCTCACCCAGGGACGCATGATTGCCCGCAAGGTCTGGCTCCGCGGCGGCCTCGTTGGCCTCATTGAGGGCACCGCCGACCCGTATGATCCCAGCAGCGGCACCGTGTCCTGGTCAGGATCCCTCGCGGGCACCTGCTTCAACACCTTCCTCGACACCCTGTATTTGTGCAACAACGCCACCGTCTCGGACGGTAAGAAGGAGCTCGAGACGGACTCGAGCAGCGTCACAACTACGGCCCTGGGCTCGGATGAGTGGAAGGCGGTGGGGGAGCCGACGGAGATAGCTCTCAAAGTCTTTGCCCTGCGCTTTGGGAAGAATAAGCCTGCCGGCGATGAACTCATCGCGGAGCACCCCTTTGACTCGTCGTGCAAGCTCATGAGTGTTGTCTATGGTGGCGACCTTGATGCCACGTCCCAGGTGTATACCAAAGGCGCCGTCGAGGTGGTCTTGCCAAAGCTGGAAGAGTCTGAGGAGCTGAAGCACAAGATCCACGCCCAGGCGGAGGAGCTCGCTGCCGAGGGCCTCCGAGTGCTGTGCATCGCCCACAGAAGCCTGGACCGGGAAAAGGAGGACGCCCACGACCGCTCCCAGGTGGAGAACGGCCTCCATTTCCTGGGGCTCGCCGGTCTGTACGATCCTCCGCGTCCCGAGACGGCCGGCGCGGTGTCACAGTGCCGCCAGGCCGGCATCGCCGTGCACATGGTCACTGGCGATCACATCAAGACGGCGACTGCGATTGCGTACGAAGTCGGCATCCTGTCGCACCATGTCCCCCTGAAGTCGACGACTGTCATGTCGGCGACCGACTTTGGCAACCTCACGGACGAGCAGGTCGACGCCATGGATTCGCTCCCGCTCGTCATCGCCCGGTGCAGCCCCCTGACCAAGGTCCGAGTCATCCAGGCGCTGCACCGCCGAGAGGCGTTTTGCATCATGACGGGCGACGGCGTCAACGACTCGCCAGCGCTGAAGCAGGCTGACGTGGGCATCGCCATGGGCGATAGGGGCAGCGATGTGGCGAAGGAAGCGTCGGACATGGTGCTGACGGACGACAACTTTGCGTCCATTGTGACGGGCATCAAGGAAGGTCGCCGGCTTGCAGACAATATTCAAAAGGTGAGAGCGACTTGACAATCCTATGGCGTGGTGATGGCCTGTGGCTGACTTGTATGTTGCATCCAGTTCCTCCTGCATCTCCTCACCTCCAATCTCGCCCAGGCCATCCTTCTGCTGATTGGGCTGGCCTTCAAGGACGAGAAGCAGGTCGCCGTCTTCCCGCTGTCACCGCTGGAGATTCTCTGGGCCAACCTCGTCACCTCGTCCCCCCTGGCCCTGGGCCTGGGCTTGGAGGAGGCGCAGCCAGACATTCTGCGGCGTCCGCCCCGCAGCCTGCACAAGGGCGTCTTCACCCTGGACCTGATCCGGGACCAGTTCATGTACGGCACCTTCATGGGATCGCTCTGCCTGGCGGCGTTTATGCTGGTGGCCTATGCGGCCTCTGGCCACGGCTTCCACAACCTGCCCGTCGACTGCAACGAGAACGGCCACGCCGGCTGCGGCCCCGTGTTCCGTGCCAGGGCGGCCACCTTTGCCACGCTGAGCTTCTTGCTCCTGGTTACTGCCTGGGAGGTGAAGCATTTCCACCGCAGTCTATTCAACATGGACGAGAGGTGGAAGGGGCCCTTTTCCGTCTTCAAGACGGTGTACCACAACCACTTCTTGTTCTGGTCCGTGGTGGCCGGGTTTGCCATTACTTTCCCCGTCATCTACCTTCCCCATGTCAACAAGAGTGTGTTTAAGCATCAGGCATTGACATGGGAATGGGGTGTCGTCTTTGGCTGCGTGGCGACGTACATTGTGCTGGTTGAAGCCTGGAAGGCCATCAAGCGCCGCTACAGCCTCGGCATCGACAAGCATCCCCATGAGGTGACCGTCTCGCAGGTCTAACATGGGGGGTGTCTCTACGCTTGCGGCTGAGTCTGGCTGCAAGGCATACTCTGGGACGGGGGCGACAAGCAGCAGGGGTAGCCCTTCTTACTTCTCTTTCTTTCTATTACGCAACAGACAGATTGGATCTAAACTATCAGAATGTTCTACTTCATTAGTTATGCAGTATTAGTTATTCACTCGTTAGGCAATCAATAGTGGAATTTGTGAGCGGATTGTCCGGTCGGTGAGGTCAGGTAACGCGTAATGTCATTCTAGTATATGCGTAGTGGTGCGTAAGTGCGTAGGCTATCTAGAGGAAAAACAAGCGATTCAAACGATCCGAACATGCAGACAAGCAGACAACCAAGCAGGTAAAGCAAGCGGCAAGCAGCAAGCAGTCAGGTAAGCAGATGGACAGATAGACAGGCAGAGACAGGCGGGATAGATAGATATGTAGGCAGAAAACTGGTCGTGAAAACGTATCTAATGCTAGCGAGGGGGGGTGGAAAACGTCAAGATGGTATATAGTTGGTATAAAATGGTGTGTGGCATATGTTCCTCATATGGCTTTTGGTCGTCGTCGTTGTGATTTGTTCATGCGATGTTTTCATGCAAAATGTGTTCATGTGATGGGAGTCGTGCAGAAGTCTTGAGTGAGTTTTCTGGAATGTTTTGTTGAGCCGATGGGCTGGAATGGCTTTTGATGCGATGGTTTTCGTCGTCGTTGTCCTTGCTGTCGTTAAGGTAGGTTGGGAGTTTTGAGTTTTGAGTTGCAAAGATGAGTTGAGAGTCGAGAGTTGAGGAGTTGGTGGTGGTGGGTGAGTGAGAGGTGTTGAGTGGTTTATGCGGTTTTGATGTCTGTTTGGATGACCTATTGTTTGTTATATTAGTCTTGCTTCATGATTGGAATAAATGGTTTGGTAGTGAAGGTTTGATGAAAGGGGAAGTGTGATGGAGTGAAGTTGAGGATGGATGAGGTTGAAGGATGGGGGAGGTGGACTTACGAATTTCCAGCCGCTGATGCCTTCCCATTTGCCGCGTACGTACATCTCGTAACTGTTCAAATACATTAGCTTTTTTCTTCCTCCTTTGTCGGTTGTAATTGTTGGAAGAGCACTTACCACTGAGGCTCGCTGATGCGGTCCACGAGGTTTTGGATGTGCGGGTGCTTTTCGATGGCTTGTTCCCAGTCCCACGGGTCCGCGTTGGAAGCCGCCTTGTCCTTGAGCTCATCTGCAGGACCGTTGGGAATGTCCGCGTAGGAGCGCTTCTTCTTGGAGTCGCCCTTGAGGAAGTTGCCTGTGTCGTTCTTCTTCGTGATGGCGCGGGTGTAGCCTTTATCCCTTGTTAATTACCTTGCTTGGTGTTTGGTGAGAGGGGAAATGGGGGAGAATTTGGACTGACCTCCTGTGAAGGTGACTTCAGGGACGAGCCTTGAGATGATTATGTCAGTATTTACGAGTTGAGACGTTGAGAGGGAGGACGGGGGTTATGGTGTGGGTGATTGTTTACTTCATCTTGGCGGTGTAGGTGATGGACGTGAGCTGCGTGTAGCCGGAGCAAGTGACGGTCGTTCTAATGCGATTCCGTTAGCTATTTGACGAAGGGTTTGAAGTGGGGAGGAGGGAAGAGAGAGAGCCCGTACGCTCGGTTGGCGGGACAGATGACGGGGCAGTTGAAGTCGATGTCGAGTGTGACTTCGTTGCGCTTGACGTCTGCGAAGGAGTCGGATGCGTGGAAGGCGTCCTGGATTGTGTTAGCTATACAAGACCAGGTGTGTTTTTTTGGGGGGGATGATGTATTGGGTGTTACCTTGATGTGGGAGGTGATGACTTCTTCGATGCCCTTTGTGGCGGCGTATCTATTGGGAATTAGTTTTGTCTTGTGGATGAAGGGTGAAGGAAGATGGTGGCTTACTCGTTGTCAGCGGTGAACATGACGGGGTTGGAGTGGCTGATTGTCTCCGTCTTGGTCTCCTTGATGGCGATGTTGACTTGGGTGCTGCGTAGACGGTGAGTAAGTCGCCAAAGTAGAAAAAGGGGGAGTCGTCGGTGTAAGTTGGTTGTTGAGGGAGAAACTCACTTCTCTTCCTGAGCTGGCACTGTGAGGGTTTTCACCTAGATTGTTTTCATCTCTCGTTTAGCATGACCTGACGTAGGACATCTCCAGAAAAGGGGGGGGATACGGACAGTAAAGGGAGAGAGCTCCTGGACGATGGGCTCGTCGAATACAAAGTCAGAGAACTCGGCTCTCCAGTTGTCGAAGCGAAGGCTTGTGCAGTGCTTGTTCTGAAATTAGAGCCACAAGTTAGCCGTCTTCGTTCTTCTCTCTTCCCCTGGAAAATGCTCCAGGGTAGGCATGTTTTCTTTTTCGCTTTTTGTTTTTGTGTGTGTTTCTTTTGCATTAATATATGTACATACGCCGTATCCCTTTGGCTTGCTCAAGTTCTTGAGCAGATATGACCTCGATTTGCCTTCGGGGCGGAGCTCATGCTGGAATTCAGACCCGCTGGAGATCCAGGACATGCCGAGGAGACTAGCGATTATATGTGAGTAGGAATCTTATTAACCATATGACGGCCGAGTACAAAGATTTTTTGAGGAATCTGAGCAACCATATTATGGCGTAATAAGGAGAAAATCTTGCATACTTGGCTAGGTCAGCAAAGGGGCGGCTTATTCCGTGGATGACTTTGGATTCCAGCTCCGAGGTCGTCGATTCGTAGCTGATGCCCTGTGGAGTTTGTTAGCGATGAGGAATTGACAGGGGGTGTATATGAGAAGAAGCCGGGGAGTTTTTGTGTCGAACCTTTAACTTGAAGACAGCTTGAGCGCGTCTGAGAACGACTGTTAGCAACTAGGAATGCCAAAAATGAAGGAGGAGCAGAAGGGAACATGAAGAACTCACCGAATGTTGTCGTACAAAGTGTCGGCCTTTCGTTCGAAAGTCTCCCAAGTCTTTTTTTATTGAAAAATTCAACGTCAGCAATTTCAGCTTCCCCAAACGTCGCGGCAACTTACCTCGGCCTGCTTCGTCGTCTCGCCACAAGCCTCCCCAAAGTAGGCCATCTTGGCCTTGCGCACGGCCTCCTCGAGCTTCTCGGGCGTGTCGAGGGTGAAGTCGACGACGCCGGAGAGCACCTCGTTGACGCAGCGGTTGAGCGCCTGGCGGTTCCACTTGTTGACGAGCGAGTCGAGCAGCAGCAGCTTGGCGATGTGGTAGTCGGCGATGCCGGCGGCGAGCCGGTTGCGGGCCTCGGTGACGCGCAGGCGCGCCTCCTCGGTGGTCAGGCTGAAGTTGGACACGCTGCTCTCGAAGGCGGCCCGGGCGGCGGACTCGCAGGCGGCCAGGTGCGAGGTGATCTTGTCCTTGGAGAGGAAGCGCGTGATGGGGAGGGTGTCGCTCTGGTTCTTGAAGTCTTCGATCTGGGCCTTGACGATGCGGTCGAGCTCCTCTTCGATGTACGACAGGAACTCTTTGAGGACTGTTTGGGAAGCGTTAGGAAAACTGAGAATTAGATGATGATAGAGTGCAAAGGGGGGGAGGGGGGTGCTCTCATACCCGCTGTGTACTTGTCGCCAAATGTGCTCTTCTTGGTCGACAGCTGGTTGTCAAACTGGTTTAGGTAGTGGTCGTACAGCCGAGTGCTCATCGGCTGCGCCTTGAGGAAGGCTATCAGCTCGCTTCGGCAGGCCGTGCTGTCTGTGATGGCCTTGAAGTCGCCCACGTCCTCCTTGGGCAGCAGAGACTCGTCCAGCTGTCTCTGGTAGACGGCGAGGTATTTCTCTAAAGAAGCGGTTAGAACTTTTTGCCATTCATAACAGTTGTGAGTAACGTGGTGCTCACCGAGCTCTTGGTCGACCAGCTTGGCCATCTCCTGCTCTCGAACCGCCACCTTTGCGGCGACGAGGTTCTTGGCGTTGTTGGCCTTTTCCGTGTAGTTGGCCTTGATGGCTGCGGCATTGTCCCACAGATACTCGGTATCGATGGTGTTGTAGTAGTTGGACAGATGGGAGCTCAGCTCCTCGTCCGCGCGCGTCTCCCAGATGGACTCGTCCCCGACGAGGCTCTCCTGGTAGAGCTTCTCCAGCGCCGCGGCAATCTGCTCCGCGCTCGTCTTGTCCTGCTCGACGAGCCACGAGGTCCAGGCAATGTTGAGGTTCTGCTTGGCCATGGCCGCGGCCGTGAAGAACGCGCGGTCGTACGTGACCGAGTAGTTTCGCACAAGAGCCTGCTCGTCGTACGAGGCCACCTTCTTCTTGTAGTTCTCCAGCAGGTCGCCGTGCAGCTGGTCCAGCATCTTGTCGGCGGTGTCGACCGAGATGGTCTTGAAGTTGGACACGGCTTCTGTCACCGTGTCCTGTATTGAGCCGATGAGCTCTGTGAGCTCCTTCTCGGCAAAGGCCTCAATCTTTTGCAGGTTGGCGGCCAGGACTTCATTTCTCTGCCCTTCTGACTCTTTTGTCAGGCTTGCACATGTATCTCTGGACAAAAAGGACTGTTAACTCTGAGCGCCGAGTGTGAGTTGCGTCAACTTCTTACCTGATGGTCTGCTGAGTGAGATATCTCAGTGAGCCACGGACGTCGGTCATGCACTTCTGCGTGATCCGATCGAGTTTCTACATGTTGTCAGACTCGTGGTGTCATTGAGAGATCCAGATAATCGCATACCTTGTTGCAGTCCTTGGTGCTAATCAGCGACGGGTCCTGGGCCAGCCGGTTGCACGCTTCTCTAAAGTCGTTGTGGAACTTGATGTGAGATCTGTTAATGGCCTCGTTCTCAGCAGCCCGCCAGATGTCAGGGACGTGCAGCTGGCCGTTCTGCTCAAGCCGGTTGATCGACTTGACAATGCTCGACACGAAATCGGCAGTAGAGGCGCCGGTCAAGGGCGCGCCGGCAACGAGTCGCGGGCTTCGAAGCATCTGGGAGAGCTGGGCTCGCAGGTTCTTGAAGTCCTTGACGTAGTTGTCGTTGAAGTCGTCGAGCACAAGGAACTCCTTGGTCTTGTCGTTGATCTTGGCCTGGACGCCCTCTTTGAGAGAGTTTCCGCGGAGGATGTGGACCTGGGATTTTGTGAGCTTGTTGTCCTATTTCTCAGGTCTCTACGGGTATGGCTTACTGTGACGTCTTCAAACTCGGCGGCCAGCTTCTCTCGGATCTTGTTTCTCCTCTTGATGGCTTCGGTCCTGCCAATTTCCTTCCTGAGGATGTTCTTTCGGACGTCGTCCACTGAACGGGGTTAGTTGGTGTTGAGTGGCTGCATCCCTTCACTGGAAAACTTACCAGAGCCTCCAAGATCATACCTGATGAATCGTTAGATAACCTCTCATTGATGTTGTACTAATGATGAACTCACTTGTTGATGATGATGACCAGCTGGCCAAACTTGGGCCCAGTCGTCTTCTTGTCGCCGCCAAAGTTCAGCTTATCCGCCGCCAGAGTCATCATGGCCAAGCTGGTCAGGATGGTGTCCTTGGCGACATCTGTGGTGTTGAAGACAATGACGCGAGAGCACAGAACGGCGGGAGTAAAGAGCATGATGCTGTCATGAAAATCAGTACGCTCGTCATTCACAAGCAGAACAAAGATGGGAATGGTGCCACGAACTCGTATAAGTCGCCCTGGTCTCCATGGCCTTCTGTGTCCAGGAAGGCCACTTTCTGGTTGCTGTTCAGAGGCACCTCGACACCGTCATCGAGCCTGGAGAACTCCTTGACGCCCATGATCTTGTTGCCCAGATTGGTGCCTTGTGCAGGAAAAGTCAGTACATGTGAACCAGGAAAGATGCGTTGAGATGCTTTTTTTCTTTTCTCTACCTCTTGTCCACGATTCAGCTCCGGGACTGGTGGAAAACAGCGGCTCATCGGTGCATCCCGCAAGGAGGTTCATGAGGGTCGATTTGCCACTCCGCGTGGGACCCATGATGCTGATGAGGTTGAGGGCATCGTTGATCTGCCGCAGATGGTTGTTGACATCGTCATGGCACTGGAGAACATAGTTTGTGACCTCGTCGGGGTCAACGTCAGTAGCATCGTCGAGGGCGACCCTCTCGCTCGCCGTCTTGACGCTGACGGCCTTGAAGCTGGTGGTCCTGGAACGGAGGCTGGGGGCGACTTCGCTGACGGGGGTCTCGGCGACGGCAGTCTCACCGTTGACGGTCTCACCGTTGGCGGTCTCACCATTGGGAGTCACGCCATTGGGAGTCTCGCCTGAGGGAGTCTCGCCTGAGGGAGTCTCGCCGTTTACAATCTCGCTGTCGCCGTTGACGCCGTTGACGCCGTTAGTGGTGGCGGCATCGTCACCGGCCTCTGCATCATCATCATCGCCGGCGGGCTCCGCATTCGAGACGTTCTCGCTGGGGGTCAGTTCACTCGGCGTGTCGTCGTCCTCCTTCCTGACGCCGTTGTCAATCTCGAGCCATCGCAGCTGGTCGCTGGTCCCGCCTGGAACCAGCTGGAAGCTCTCTTCCTCCTGGAGACTGCACGGCGGATACCGAAAGGCTCTGCGGTTAGTTTCTGTTCTGCGCCCCAATCTGTTGGTTGGTTGAGGATATGGGAGCCATACTTTGAAGGATCATTGAGCTCCAGGCTGTTCATCCGGTCGGTGGAGGTGCTAAAGCGCGCATCGCTCTTGGAGAGTCTGTTTGAACGCTCTACAGGTTGGTGCGGGCGATGAGTATCAGAACGAGTCTGCAAGATTTACGCGGTGATGCGGCGAGAGAGAGGATGAGAGGAGAGGTTGATGGATGGGCATACTGGTTGATTTGGACCACGACGGCATGCGCTGAGACAGCGACCTCATTCTCATAACCATGTTGAACGGCTTGGTCGAGCTGTGTCGCTCAGCTCAAGCTTCTGCGTCTGCGTCCTTCTACTCCCTGGCGTCTGCTTCTGCTTCTGCTTCAGCTTCGGCTTCAACAATTTAACAATGGATGATGTGAGCTCTCGAAGGCCGTGGCTGGCATTGTATGTATAAAATCAACTTCACGCCATCAAGCGGTAAAGGGACTGGAAGAAAAGGCTGGCAGGCAACCCCCCCGGACGACACTGAAACGGCTTAGCCCGGGGGCCCAGGATATGGATATGGATAATGGATATGGTATGGATGCAGCTATGGATATGGATATGCCGACTTGTGCTGTCGTCCGAGTCCACGTCAATGCAGGCCCTTGGTGTGAGGCCGCGGCATGTGATAGGTCGCGAGCAGGGGGCCCTCTGCTGGGTTGGGCTGCCATAGCAACTTGGCCTGCAGTGCCTGACTCTTGAATTCGAGGCTTGCACAAGCAGAAGTCGTTTTGTGTGAAGCGTCGTGGTGAGCTGTGTTTGCGTGTGTCCCCCTTCCAACCCCCCCTGCTCTGGCTGTGAAAGGGGTCCATCCATCTATCCCGTTACACGTATTATTTGGGAGATCAGGCGGTCACACACGTGGAGACTCGGTTCACTGACTCGCCGCTGGAGCTGGTGTTTAGGGACTAGGTGCGTAGAACACGTCAACCCATGAAGGCCAACCTATGCCTGAAGCGTGATAACGTCGCTCTGCTCACCCTGCAACACGATAAGGCGGGGAGCCGGCCATTGGCCTGTAGGGCTTCCGAAACGGTGGCGAACGGGACTCATCGCAAAGGACGGGCAGCAGTCGTGCAGCGAACGTTAGGGGTCATCATGCACATGCAACCCTTTTAACCATCAGGATGTTTGCAGCCGCCGCGGATGCCGCCCGGAAACCTTTTTTTTTCCTGCCTGTCTTCTCGTTTCGACCATCGTGAGTGGACGGAGCGTCGTTTGCCATTTGTAACGAGTTATTCATTGAGTCACCTTGGTTGGTGGTGGCCAACGCGAAGAACTGGGCTCACCTCCTCTTCCCCTCTCCTCATTCGTGCCCCCGTTTGACGACGTGCATGACAAGGGCTCAGACTTTCGCCTCCTTCTCCTTGGCTTCCTCTCCTGCTGCTGTACAGTATCAACAACATCGCCTCCCATCGATTGCGCAGTCGTGAGCGAATGGAATCAGCAGAGACGCGCGTTGGAAATAAGCAAACGCCTGAGATTGTCCCGTGCAAGGGGGGACTAGGAGTCTAGGACCCAGCCTCCCGCGCGTTAAAACATGGAAACGGCCGCTCACCGAGTCTTTTGCAGTCTTGCACAATTCGTACTAAACGAGCAGATGCTACTAGCGGAACCACCCGCTTCTGATACGACGGGAGTGGAGGGACAATTGGCGTCGAGCTGACCGGGGGGGAGGGTTTCGAATCTGCATGCTCCCACATTTGCATCTCGCTCTCTTGTTTCTGCACTTGCTGCACACCGAGGCGACGGCGATCATTATCGCATGCTATTCTGTGTTCGGAGAGCCAACCTTGACGGCATCTCGAAGCATTGATGCTCAATGATGTTTCTGTCGTTACGGGACGTTCACCCGTGGCTACCCGTCAGTTGTGCAACAACACGAAGAGAGAACTCACAACTTGTGCTATTCGTCGCTTACAGGACCCGGCCATGGACATGCAAAACGCCTCAAACTCATGATAACTCCCCAAGGACTAAGCGATGCTTGGACTCCGTCCCCCATACGACCCAGGCCGTATATCAAACGCAAAACCAACCTCTCAAAACACATCAGCCGGGGTTCCCAAGCCTCGGCGCCTGCGCTTAGGCCGCGATCGCAACATTAGCCTCCTCCAAACCCGTGCTCCTCTAGCCAACCAAACCGACAAGCAGACAAACGCCTCCCACGCCTCTCCACAGGCAGATGCATCCCAAGCCTACCCACCTGCGGTCACCTGTCCGGTCCACCGATCAATACGTGCATATAGACTCCATAGGACTTGGACTTTTGGGGCCACAGGCATGGGATCGTAGGCGGCTGCATGTATCCTGGTCTCGAGATATGGACCACGTAGGATGGGGGTGATGACGACGGTGACGTCCATTTGCCTCGAGGCGACTGCTCGAGACGAGGCCCGATTGTCACGGTTGAACAGCAGCCGATGAGACTATCCAGCCGCGCTCGGATGCGTTGGTCCTTCTGGCGTCGGGCTGTCGTACGAGTATGACAACTGTCCTGCTGGTGTCCGTGTCACTCTCGTGCTCATGGCGTAACCTCGTCCTCAGCCTCAATCTCTCATTCTCAGCCTCGTCCCTCATCTAAGCCACGTCTCCATAGTGAAAGCACTCATCAGCCCACCTTCAAGGCTACCTGTGAGTTCTCTGGCACTCCGAATGGCGAGTTCAGTCCAGAGATGTCGTGATGTCGGCGAGCTTCCACCATGAAACAGGATGCATATGACAGCTGGACTGGCTCGCCAGAGCTGCCTAGGGTAGTGACAGAACGGGCAAATCATTGAAGATGCGCGTTTCCGCAAATCGCTTCGAACGCACCACCTTTGTCGTAGGATATGGGCGCAATCTTTCCCCAGATTCTGCACCCTGTTGCATGATGCCCGCTGCATGTGCCCCATCACGCCGTCAGCAGTTCAGCCGTCATTGCCAGAGCCCGTGACTCGCGACGGACACTGGATGTAAAGATTTTTGGCCAATTGTAAGCTCGCGGCTGCTCACGATAGGGAAATATGGTGTCGTTTGTGGGCGAGGCCCCGGGGCTGCGATACAAGAACCCTTGAATCAGGCATCATTGCATGTCGCTCTCCATCAGATGAGGGACTTTTGATTGTGATTGGAAGCTGGACTCCGCAACAATGGGAATCGAATGCCCCAGTATCACTTGACTTCCTTTTCTGTCGTTGTCTTGATGTATAACTCGCCGAAACCGGCTGGAGGTTGCCGTCCCCAGCATCGTGATAGAGAATCGTGAATGATGCGTCACAATTCGTCGAGATTGTTTCGCTGAGGATCCATGTATGTGCTTCAAAGGCTATATATCATCGAACATTTGTCGCTTGCAAGCTGCTTAGTCTATGAGTTTGCCGTTGCCAGGGTTGGCTGTCGATAGAGCCTCGCAAACCGCGGTCGAAGAGGTGCTTTGCCGCCCTTGTGGACAAAGACTATGGTTACAAACCCCGATTGTTTTGACTGAGTAAGCAACTGTTGTTTGAGGAGAAGAGTGATAAGCGTCTACTCTTCTCAAGTGCCGAGATGCTGGTCGGCGGGATGAAAGAGGCTTGGGTGTAAGTGTTAGACTGGACCAGCCTCATCCGGCGTAGAAGCTGCATAAACCAAATGGCTTGAATGTCGACCATTCCGCGGGCGAGCATGCAAATGTTGTTTTGATGACTCGCATCGATGTTGGGTTATGTCGAGGAATTGTTTGCACCGTGGCAGGCGACATGAGTTCTCGGCATGGCTGCGATTCCCCAAGTTACCGTGAGCGCCATTTCGCTGATCCGTCCGGTTCGGAAGCGGACAGTGGTATACATCGGAGAACAGAAAGCAATCATCCCGGACGGAAAAGATTGTGAAGCTTGGTGTGCTTGGACGCAAAACGATGAGGGGATGAGCATAGGTATTCATTGAAAGCATATGCGTCGCCTCGTTTGTGCAACTTCCAAGTTATTAACCGTATGATGCAAGGACGACGGCAACAAACGTCCAGCAACGTTAATCGCACGGCTTGAGTAGAGTTGAAGTTGAGACTAATGTGTGCGTATTGTGCAAAGGGCTCAGCTCTCCAAGCACAAAGTCGAAGAGGCGGAGCTCCTTATATACGCATAGCTGACAAGGTCTGGGAAGATGAACTGCAGAAGGTGAGAGTAATACCCTGCAAGTCCGAAGAGAGTTGTTATTGCTAATGATGCATGCTCATTGGCCCATCCGCCGGTTCATTTGCTTCCTTGTCGGAGTTGAATAGTACACAAGGTAGCCAAACTGCATGTGATACGAGCAGCAGAGCTCCCTACCTTGCCTTGAATCACACCCGGCAAATTGGAAACACGGCACCAACCCGGTCATGGTAATTGTTTTACTGTTCTATTGTAAGTACCACCGTGCGTCTTTCATTTTCGTCCTGCTGGCAAGGCAGATAAACGCCTTTTCCCGCTTCCAGTGTATCCTTTCATCATGCATCTGTCCACGCCAAAGGGACAATCGGCTGGATGTCGGCTCATTTATGATTGCCTGGGGCGAGGCAATCCATGCAGTTGTGGATTCTGTCACTGGCAACTTGATCGTTGAATGTTCGATCGGTTCCTGTGTGCTTACCTGCATCATTCGTCTCATCCCGGCTAGCTGATGGCTCGCAAAGCTTTTGTGCGATGGTCATTCGTCTGTGACATCTCATCTGTGGCATACTTATGTTTCTGTACGTAGGTCTGGTGTCTCCTCTCTTCTCTCTTCAACTCGTTGCAACTACATCTCGTCGTTGTTTTTCTATTTTACTAGGACGTCTATCGCCTCTTCGTCGTGGAATCAAGCGGCAATTGACATTAGCAAGGAATAAGTCTTTGTGAAAGATTCAGAATTCATCGGAGGGTAGGCCACCAAGTCTCTACTTGGTTGCGAGTATGTGGATTTCTAAGACATAGATCTATGCCATCTCTTTCTTGGGTCATATGGTCACCAGAGCGCCGGCAGGGTGTTTCGCGAGTTTCATGGTCGGCTATACAGCATGTCTAACGGCGATAACTGCAAGTTTTCCGGCTCATTGTTTGAGGATAGGGCCAATTTCTATGGCCGCGAATTAGTACTCCAAAGGGCGGCTATACCGGCTTCTAACAAAGCTCTGGATAGGCTGCTGGGTATGTGTGCCTGCAAATACCCCTCACAAAGACATCAAGCCTGAGCTTCCATATTAAGTCGTTGAAAACCAAGGTAGGGTCAGGCGCTAGGTGATTCGCAGAGTTAATCATACACTTTCATTGA